CTAACACCAGATAAGATACTTATTGAAGGCACTTGTACAGGTTGGTTATTCTTAATGGAATAATTTACTAATTACAACAAAAGAACTAAATGCTTTATACAAGTTTTCTTGAAAGATGGTTTGATGAACATATATAAGGATTATGTCAATATTTTCTCATAATGAATCTACACATTTAAGTCGCATGCCTTTGTGTTGAATGGCATGTGATTTTTTTTAACATTAAACATAAGACCAGAATTATCAGTATTTGTAATCCAATGTTATGTTGCGATATTTGGGTGTTTTTTTCAATTGAACAAGAATAAAGATTGTTCCAATTAATGATCTGCATACAATGTACTAGAAAACTTTAAAGGAAACAATGATTTGTCTCTACAACATTACTAGTAATGCACCTTGTATATAAGATTTTTCACTTGAATGAAGTTTCTATGAACTGTGTACTACATCACATGTTGCTGTGTACTGCATCACATGTTGCTGTGTATTACATCACATGTTGCTGTGTACTACATCACATGTTGCTGTGTACTACATCAGTTTGCTTTGTATGACATCACATGTTGCTGTGTACTACATCACATGTTGCTGTGCACTACATCAGTTTGTTGTGTATGACATCACATGTTGCTGTGTAGAACATCACATGTTGCTGTGTACTACATCACATGTTGCTGTGTAGAACATCACATGTTGTTGTGTAATACATTAGGTGATGATGTGTACTGTAACAATGCTATCAATCTCCACGCAGAGTTACGGTCCTTGCACTCCCTTTTATCTCTGCCAACGTCAAAAAGGAGTTCCGCATCACATGACCAAACAATCATGTGATCCACCGTATAAAATGGCAGCCTCACGCCAAAGAAGTTGGAAAATATAGATTGTTTTGCGTGTTTTGCCAAGAATGTGATAGTTTTTAAGTTGAGTGGGCGAAAGATACATAGTGATGGATTCAATTTGGTGTCATGAACAAATTATACGAAGTCAGCTGTTCTATTCATTTTTAAAGCTTAATAACCACATTTATATTACTACGCTGAACATTACGCTAAAATGTATAGTGCAGTATACATTAACGCCTTACTACTCGTTAAAAGTCGTTTCAAAAGTGGTATAGAATGAAAAAAGAAGTCACTGAAGATGAAATAATCACGATTTGAGACCAAATTTGGTTTTACAAGAATCTTGTAAAATCTGAGACGTTGACAGAGATGTGTGTGATTGAAAAGGAACGACAACTCTGGGTAGAGATTGCAATGCTATATGAAATCCCATGAACCTTACTAACCTTACGTTATCCTATACATGTGTTTTGTGTGAAATTGTTTGTTCCAGAAGCATTTTTGATTACTGATTTGTAAAAACTCAATTGGTGTCCAGTAACATGGAACTGAAAGAACAGACATAGCGTTGGGTTCTAAAAAAATATTCACCTTTTGCAGATGTTCACATGCTGATAAAAGATGATGAACATTGTAATACACTGATTATAAATTAATACAAACCTGTATTATGGTGATGGATTTCTTAAAAGAAATTTTTGACTACATTTACATATCTCTCAGTATTACAAATCAAACTGGTGTGTACTATGAGTCAGCAACAAAGCTGATTACCGACTAAAAGGCAATCACAGGTTACCTATTTCAAATAATCTACATGTTGGTCCCTTACTTCAAGGCAACCAAACACTGGTTACCTACTTGTAGTACTTCAAAGTAACCACTCACTGGTTTTACCCATTACAAGCAAACCACATGTTAGTTCATTACCTAACACCCATTACATGTAAATCACGCACTGGTTACCTCCTTCAAAGAAAACACTCTCTGGTTACCTCCTTCAAGGTAACCGATACTGGTAGCCTCCTTCAAAGCAAACACTCTCTGGTTACCTCCTTCAAGGTAACCACATATTGGTAGCCTCCTTCCAGGCAACCATTCACTGGTTACCTCCTTCAAGGTAACCACATACTGGTAGCCTCCTTCAAGGTAACCATTCACTGGTATCCTCCTTCAAGGTAACCGTTCACTGGTAACCTCCTTCAAGGGAACTCTTCACTGGTAACCTCCTTCAAGGTAATCTCATACTGGTAGCCTCCTTCAAGGTAACCACATACTGGTAGCCGCCTTCAAGGTAACCATTCACTGGTAACCTCCTTCAAGGAAATCACATACTGGTAGCCTCCTTCAAGGTAATCATTCACTGGTAACCTCCTTCAAGGTAATCATTCACTGGTAACCTCCTTCAAGGTAACCGTTCACTGGTAACCTCCTTCAAGGTAAATCTTCACTGGTAACCTCCTTCAAGGTAATCATTCACTGGTAGCCTCCTTCAAGGTTACCATTCACTGGTAACCTCCTTCAAGGTAACCATTCACTGGTAGCCTCCTTCAAGGTTACCACACACTGGTTACCTCCTTCAAGGCTAATAGATGCTGGTGATCTATAAAGACTATAATTCAGAGATTCCCCAGCAGACACACAAAGCATAATGCTCTGTGCTTGTCTTCATTCATATTGCCTGCAACTACATTTATTATTTCTAAGTGTGTTTTCAATATTTGTTATTGTTATTGATATTTATTCAGAAATAAAACATTTACTCCAGTGTTACTGTGGTTTTGTGTGGTGTTTTTTGCAGACAGCTCAAGAAAATTATGTCGTCCTTTTTCTGAAAGTCAAATGTCTTCCAATTAAATTTTTCCATGGAAATAAATTTCTTCACGATGAGTCTTTGGTTAAGAAGATACCTCAAATCTGCTTAAGTGGCTCAGTTTAACGAAGGTCAATGTACATCAAGTATTAAAGTAAACAACAGAAACCATCCCTAATGAAATGTATCATTTGAACTAGTATAAATAAATTCTTTCTGAAAGAATCTTCTCCAAATATACTTTCATACAAAAAAACACAACCCAATAGTCCAAAACAATCCTCTCAAGAACTTAAATTCACATTGTAGTACAGTACATTTCACCTAATATCACGTCTGTTAATGTCACTTTTCGGTTATTATCATGTGTTTTTGATGCAACGTTTTTCCTGCTATATAATCTATGCATTTGAATTCTTTTATTATCACCTGATTTTATGTCAATTTCTCTTAATATCACATTATTTTGGCCACTGTCACAAAAAAATACAGGTAAATGGCGGATATGATTCATGTAGTAATTATGAAATCTGATTCTATATATTGACAACCCTTTCCTTAAAATATAAAAACAAAGTACTAATCTATCTCAATGATCTTAACACTCGACAACCTATAAATCATATGCAACTATTTCCAGCCACAAACTGTCAGGTTTTTTCAATCGGTTTTATTATCGTATAGATTTAGATCAATTTGGTCACAATATATACTTAAAAAGGATTATTCTTTGTTTGTTTTTTTCTTATTGAGAATTAATTTCCTATCTGAGCAACAACAGACAGATTTTATGAAAAACCTCAGCTAAGATTACTTCTTTAAATATCCCTATATGGAAAACATTGGTTCAGATAGGTCTTGGGCTAGCAAAAGATCCTGTAACCTCAGCCTCTAACAAGTCCTCCAGGTAAGTCGATTTCTATCCCTTCCCTCCCAAACACAAGACCTCTGTACAAGTAGCTTTAACTGTCCCCCTTCACCTAAACCAAAGTCGCCTCCAGATTAGAAGAATTATCTCCCTTCTCAGTCAAAAACAAGTGCTGCAGATTAGCAGGTTCCCCTCCTTCTCAAAACTTTGTTTAAAGTTCTGACATGAAATATATATTATCTTCAAAAGCTGCAACAATAAATCGTATCGCAATACTTTCTGGTGTATCGTATAAAATTGTTTTGTTTGCCGGTATTGCGATACACTAACAGTACTGAAATTATCAATTAATCTTTGATTATCAAACTCCTTAATCCTTCAATAAGACATGGTTCACTGTGAAGTCATACCCAATCATACTAAAATGCATACACAAATATATTTTGATAGTTTTTGCTATTGAGGTCTATGATAAAACTCGATAAAATACTGCACTCAATTATTAAGTTGACCTTTTAAGCAGATATTTGTATCGTGATACTTATCGTATTGTAAGCATCGTACTGCGATACGTATCATATCGTGAGGTATGTATATCGTTGCAGCCCTATCATCTACCACATTTATTTACATTTGTCACTTCATTGAATTCTCTGTACATTTATCTACACGTTCATACACATAAAAATTTCAAAACATTGATAATATTTCAGTTCCTATTTCTGTAGTTAGTATGTTACGTTGGCAAAATTCGTAATTTTGAACGCTTTGATTTAATTTATGAATTAAAATAACAGAAACTGCATAAATGCATTTTGCTAACATGTATATAAATATCCCTAAATAATACAATGTTGTGTCAAATGTCTATGTATGTGACAGAGAATAAAAGATGTCGAGTTTTGTTGAGAAACCTCATTTATCCCAGGTCGCTGACTCGCAGGTTTTCAATACTGTATAGTTCATTAACTTCATACTTCGCGTGGATAATATTTCGCAGTTGTCCCAATAAGAACTAGTTTGCACATCCATGTGGGGTCGAAATAATCTGTATACCCATACCATAATTCTTCCGTCAAAAAACGATATTGAATTGTTGTTTTATCCCTATTTTTCGACAGTAAATAGGTAAACATTTTATTTGCTCTTTTATCTTCATGATATTAATATTCACGCTATCTTCTCTGATGATCGTGTATAAAGTGAAATCAAATCCTCGTAAATATTGCCATTTATACAGTAGGCTAGATATTGTAGCTGTATGGCTAAAGACACAAACTATCAACAATATTAATCAATCAGACAATGAGCTGGAGTTTCCATCTCATGAGTTCCACGGTTTTACTTATCAAACAATAGTCAGCTCTGTCACAAGTGTGAGGATCAGTGGCTAATAGCCCTGTGGACTGGAGGCTTTAAAATGTCATTTCTTACTCTGTTCTGTTGATTACATCAAAACATAATCCAAACAATATTTAAAAAAAAAATGTATTCAGATAATAAGATAATATACATGAAAAAGTCAAAACCATCCTATCTAAATCGGTGTCAGGGATTATATCTGAATTTCTTCTTATCTGAATGTACTCTTTTCTTTCTAAGCACATCCTTCTGGAACTTTAATTTCCTGAAAGGAAAAAAAAACATTCTTAGAAATATGTTGACTTGCACAAAATAACAAAAGTTTTCAAACAGAAGAGGTTACAGAGTACAACATCCATGCCAATAACACAGAGAGACACATAGCAGACGATTTCAACAGAAATATGCTGTCGACAAAACATGTTTCTGTAAGACACAGATGCAATTAACAGCTTTTATGCATTGCCATGTTTTATTCTTAAATTATCATTTCATAAATGTTCCAACTCGTATAACTGTATGCCAGGAAACTTCCACTCAGTTAAATTGTTTGCCCTTCACTGGTAGAATCTGACAAAATTCAATTGCAACAAAAATGCCCTGTATACAGAACACTTTTTAACCTGGCAACCTACATATTTTCATTTTTAGTCTGAAACGTTTCTTTCGTCCAATCATCTATGTAAAATTACCCTTTCACCAATGTTTTGTTTTCATATCGTAAATTTTAAACAAACAAAATATTTATATTACCTAGCATGGTATAACATCAGCCAAAAAACAAGACCCTATTATTTTATAAGCCTCTTGGTTCTATTCTACAAAGATTTTTTTTAATCTAATGCGACCTTTAATGTACAAGGTCATTTATCTGAACAAACTTGATAGAGGTCATGGTTCATTAGAAGCGATTTGAATATTTCAACACATATGACCCCTGTGACCTTGAATGTGGATTAGTATTATTCATTTAAACAACATTGATATCCCTACCAGTTATATCCCAGTAAATCACCAGCCAAATATCGCTACTCTAGGCTTTATAGTTCATTTAGAAGCAGTCATTTGAAAATGTAAAACACATCTAACCCATACCCTTGTATAGGGTATCAGTAATCTATTTGAACAAGCTAGATAATCTTTTACCCCAGCACCCTACATGGCAATCTATATCATTACTGTCGGCCTAATATCTCGACACAGGCACCAGGTGAACAAAACCTCATGTTTCAATAATGCATCATATCTATTCTCGATGGGAGTCAAAGATTCTTGTTTTCAATATTGAATGTGAAATGTTTTTTATTTAAAAGTACCCTGTTACGACACCTACCCCTTGGCAATGCGAGCAAGTTCCTCTGGTGTTTGTTCCTTGGGTTTCATAGTGCCTCTGTAAATCATACTGCGAATCTGCTCCATACAATCGGCTTTGTTCATGATCTGTTTCCGTGTCTTCTCCGACGATATCATCACAAAGCCGTCCTTGCTGATATGGTGTTTTTGCTGGCAATGAAATAATACAATTCAGTTCTGTCCAGTGATAATAATAGTCAGAAAACTAAATCTTATTTAACATCTCAAATATCTGGTCTATCAGAATTTCAGCAGGTCTATGAGAAATCTAAATGTCATAGACCTATTGTCTATGGTGTATAAATCCTAAGCCTGACAAATACATGTATGTTTGTGAGTCAACTTAAAAAATGTTGGTAACAATAATTGGTCAGTTAGTTCTGTTCAGAAACATTTACATGGCTCTTTACCTGCTCTTTGATTTTTTCTCTGATCCAGGCAGGTATCCAGGTCGCAGATTCAAGATGGAATTTTGCATTTACTTTAGAGCTGACTGTAAAATAGAAAAGCGTTGGTAAACTAAACTATACATATCAGGTTAAACAACTTGGACAAAAATAAATCGCCCTAGGCCAAGTACTGTAAATTAAATTAAACTATACATTCATGTTTTATAACTTTGACTAAAGTAAAACACTGCAGATAAACTTAACTAAAGACGCATGTTGTACAACCAGGACAAAATATCGGGGGTGAACTAAGAGGTGAAAATTCTATTTAAAATCTCAAACCCAAGGGTTGAGATTTTTCTAATCTACAGTATAATTTGTAAATGAATATACTCTCACACCTTCTCATCACCAAAATTATCATTTCCAATAAGTATTTCAGTCTGTTTCTTTATAGACACAACATTACCCTACCCTTCCCTTTGGTGAGATAGTACAAACCTCTCACAAGGTATAAAATGTGTGATTTTTTTTTGTCACAGGTATAAAAACAAATATTTTCCAGTATATTGTTTATGTCTTACCTTTATTTACATTCTGGCCACCTTTTCCACCACTTCTGGTATAGGTAAACTCTATCTTTTCTGTAAAATAGGCAGTACAGGTCAACAAATGTTAATCACTTTAAGAATAAATATAATCATATACAGAATGCATTACACAACTTAGTGTCATCCCAATGAAGATAATCTGTGTAATAATGATGAATGAGAAATAAACGTCATCACATGAAACTGGAATGTTGCGAAAGGTCTTGCTTTGAATTGCCCTAATATCAGTACATCTGCATATGTAGCACTAATTAAAACCTGTCCACTTACACTAAGGCACAATCTTGATATTCCCCTATTTCAACAAAATCAAGTTAAACCTCTTTACATGTAAGGTGTAGCCCTACAATAGTTATCCTCTACTTGCAATTGTAGTGATTCATCACTTTTATCTCGAGTGGTAGTCTTTTATATGCAAAGTTGACACAACTTTGAGGAATGGCAGTCCAAGCATCAAAACAAAGACTCACTTCATTTTCGGGAACGTGAATTAAACAAGACCTTCCAGAATGACACTTTGAATTACAGCTATTGGTTGCTAAGTACAGTTATTCTAAAATATGTTTGATTGTATCAAGGAAAATCCTGGAATTTGAGAGCAGTTGGCAATTTCAGCAATTTTTAGTCAATATCAAAATTAAGAAGGGCCTTTTTATATAAATTAAAAGAAAATTTGAACATGAAGGGGTCAGTTTCGAGGGGTCAGTGGCCCCATGGCTAGCTCCCTCCACGATTACCCATGTTGTATAAATCCAAAATTGTTTTCTCTTCGACTATGGACACTTCAAATTCTCCCTTTTTGCAAAAATTGTTTCATTTATAATGGATTTCTTGGTTCCAATTTATGAATAAATGGAGTTGTTTATACCATGCCCTTGGGAACAGTCATTTTCATAACTAACATTAAATATCTTCATGAAAGCAGGTAATGATAGCCCCACTCAGCCTCACTAAGGTCTTCAGATAAAGTAAATATTGCATCATACACGAACTACATTCATATACATTCCAAAATTTATGGAAACCTTAATAAAAGCTTTAATAATTTTTCCATCACTTACCAGTTGGAATATATCCTGAGAATGGTTCCTCTTCACTACCATTTGCATAATTGTGCTGTATTTCAAAAAAAGAAATCTTTTTCAAAAGGTAAACAATGTAAGAGGTCGGGGAAAAACCACTAACTTGCGTATAATACGCAAACTCGCGTATTATACGCCAATAGGGGTATGGATTTGTTACTAAAAATAGCCAAAATCACTTTAATCTTAACTTTTTCAAATTGTTTGTCCAAGTCGCATTTATTCAGTCATGAAACATAATACAAATGCAAAAATAAAGTTTATTTGCATGTGGGAAAGTACCAAAAATAGATGCAATACTTGCGGTAAAATTACATCAAGTTTCTAAGTAGCCAACGCTTTCAGTAAACATCTTTTAGCAAAATATTATTTACCTTGTCGTAAATTAATGCGATTTTTAATAATATCTTGCAAAAGTTACTGTTAAAGCGATTAGTGTTATTTTTAGTAACAAATCCATACTCCACCTGGCGTATAATAGGCGAGTTTGCGTATTATACGCAAGTTGTGGTTTTCCCCAACCTGATATATAAGCCCTATTAAGAGAAATGGTGTTGGAACTTTTGATTTCCAGAAACAGTGAGAAGAGTTTTTATTGGGAAGGAAAACCACCATGCATTAAAATCAGTCTGATTGTCCTTTAGCTGCTATGTTACATGTACATCTATATCAGGTTAAAGATGTTACAATATGTTAGTTTACATAAACATTACCAACAGAAGTTCACAAACAAAACCGTTAGATCAAGTACACTAAGAAAAAGAGTTTGAAGAGATCAATTACGAATTTATTTTAGAAATGATCAGGTTGCGGCACAACGGCCCATATGGGTAATAATCCAGCATTTGGGTAATGGCCCCATTTTGAGTCGCAATCTTATTACCGACATGGGGAATTAAGTGAAATAAAAATACACAAAGTTCTTTTAAACACTAAGAGCATTGAATTCTTTCAACAAAATCCAATAAATACACAATGAAGTGCATTTGTATACAAAGAGTTATCAATTCTGATGTCTAACTTTTTGTGAAAATGACAAACCAATATCACTGACTTGGTTTTCCATTGACATCAGTATTGAAATGTTCAGTGAAGTCAATGGGATCATGCTTTTTATAGCTACTCTACAACACAAATTTAGATAACTGAATTACCATTTGTTGTGCACAGTCGTAAACTACTTTAAAAGTAATTACAATATCAGTAAATAGTGGGTCTACCTGTTTTTTAAGCACGTTGAACGCTTCATTTATGCTGTTTCTATTGCCTGGATACAAATTGTCTAGACTCAGTTTACTCTTATACCCAGCAGTTCTCAATGTCTGTATTGTATAAAAGTTCCTCAGAACATTTGCATTATTGGCAGTTAAAGCAAGTCGCATGCAACGACAGAACATCGTGTACAACAATTATCTTTCCACTCCTCATAGAGCCATGAGCAAAGTCACCGGAAGTTTCGTTGAAACGTCTACTTAAGAAACCGGCTACGTGGTCATATTTTCCGGAAATAAGACGCAAGTGGTTCAACTTTTACTTTTCAACTTAAATACTAAACAATGATAGCTTTTTGTTATTAATTAATGATGACACTTTTTTGTACAAAATAATAAATATATTTATGAACTTGTATTGTTTGAATTTCTTACGTGTTTCCTAGGTGTTATTTTACTACTAGAATCATACTTTCATAGATTCACTTTTAGTTACATAGTAACTTGAAGGCAAATAACGAAACAACAAACATATAAAGAAACTTCAAACACCCAATATATTAACTAACGCAGAAGCCAGGCCCATTCTCCTCAGTTCACGTGACTGACTGTTTTATGAATAAAGAAGAGTCAAACATAAGTTGAATATTGTGAGTAGTTAAAATTTGCATTAAAATATTTGTGTTTAGCATAGAATCATCTTTGTTTAAGTAGTCATTTCTCAGTTACAGCGTATTTTAATATTATCTCATTTGCTTTCGATACGATAATGTTTATCAGTTTTCGTAGTCTCTCTGGACATGAAAGATTTTTCAGAGATTAAATTATAATTTTGGTATGCTCCTCTGTACCCCTTCTAATATTTCTATGTATTTAATCTTGTGTGGAAACGCGGAGTACAAACTCAGTGAAAATGTCCATGAATCTTCAATAGAGACTTGTACAGTAAAATAAGTGTTTGAATGTCTCTTAATAACTTCTGTAATTAAATAAACAACAGTCAGAAAGACAATACCGATGTACTTGAAGACCGAGTGAGACACTTTTTTTTCGTCGATGACTGCGCCCTTGCAGCATCGAACCACAGGTACTAGCCTCGTCTGATTATAGATGTGATCGAACAAACTATGTCTACAAGAAGAACTCGATATCTGCGTGTCAACCGCTTCCATAGCCTTTTAGCTCACCATCTCCTGTCCCCATCAGGCATTGTTAACTTATAACATGGCGTTTAGACGTAGGTTTATTATGAAGCAAAAACTGCGGAAAGTTCCATCCACGTGGACAGTACCTTTGACCACAAATTTCAGCATGGGCAAAGAAGCGTCGATCAGATTCGCAAAAATGTTGACCTCCTTTGTCTGCATAACACTAAAGCAGTTCATGGAAGGACCTTGAAGTATAGTGCAATTGCCTGACATTAGGGTACTCATCGTGAAGTCTTATCTCCGTTGGGTTGGACATATAGAACAAAGGTCGAGATAAGTCTCCTCAAAACGGGTTTCTCTGAATTGGTTTCTGACACACTGTAAATCTAACGGCCAATGAAACGCTATATATTTATATCTGTTGAATGGAATCTCTAGGTACTGAGTACTGACCGCAACGTTAGGCGACATGCAGTCCTCAAATGAGAGCCTGCCTTTGAGGAGGAGTCTAGCTGTTAGACGCGGACAAAAGGGCATCCACAAAGAGAGAGACCTTATCAGACTACTGGTGCTGAATGCCTACAGTACTGCCACATCTGTACCTAATTACTGTAGGCTACAGCTCTTCGGCGTCACTGACCTCTTCGTTGTTCCGACGACGACGACGACGACGACGATGATGGTTTAACGACCTCACAACAGCAACGGTCTTATGATGACGGGTGTCTAGGGAGACAACTCTGTGAAGAGAAAGTAGAAAGAAAAGAAAGAAGAAAGGAAAATGAGGAACCGAAAAATATCTGAAGTGTTGCAATGGGTGCAGCAGATACATTTGGTCTCTTCATTGTCCTCTTAGTAGAATACATAGAAGAAAAAACCCTTTTCTGCAGGGGCCCCACGTTATATTGCCATTGAAAATGTCCAACGCAGGGCAACAAGACGCCTACCATTCCTAAAAGGAAAATCATACAGTGAGAGACTTTATATGTTGGGCCTCCCCAGTCTAGAGTACCGACGATTGAGAGGAGATGTCATACAAATTTACAAATCGTGTATGGCATTGACATTCTGGATAAGGACAAAATTATTAAAATGGCAACATTGGCTACAACAAGAGGAAACTCCAAAAAACTCTTCAAGAGAAAGATGAGGCTCAATGTAACCAGGAACCTGTACAGTAGTAGGGTCGTGGACGTGTGGAACTCTCTACCAAATATAGTTGTAGAGGCCCCCTCCTTAAATAGTTGTTAAGCTCGGTTAAACAATCACTGGCGTCATCATCACCAAAAATTTGTACCAACCTGTTTGTTACTCACAACCGAACGTGATTAGAGAACAGTATATAGATGCGTCTCAAGAAGCTGGATCAGCTTACGTCGATGTCGACACTACATGAAAACTACATGAAAGACATATTAGTCGCCTTGAACGATACACATGCAGTTATATGGTACAGCGTATCTATTCTTTATTTCTTCAATGTCCCCGATTCATGTCTATGATGCATGCATGTATGTTAGTATCACAAAGTTCGTTAACTCTGAGAACGTTCCGTACTTAAATTCTCTTGAATACATTTCCCTCGGAAAACTTCTTTTGAGATCGATTTATACTGTAATTCATCTGTATTTTTTCAAGTAAAAAAATATCTAGGTCATTCATATAATGAAATCCATAAACATTTCAATAAACATTTGAGGAAATATAGCCAAGATATCTAATTTGGGGAATTGATAACATTCTTTAAAAGGCAAAAACTTTTGCAAACCCAATGCCTGCATGATGATTATTTGGGATATGTGATTAATAATTATGATTGATAAGATCTGTGTTTTATTCATGAAATTGTTCTCGTATTCAAGCATGAACTCTTGTTTCTCGCTTAAATCATGCGACACGGCAGAAATGTCCTGTGTTAAAGCTTTGAGACTCCAAAATTCGTCCAAATCATGGACATTGTATGTGTGTTTTATTCATTCATCACCGGAACAAGAAACTTACATTGAGCACAGAATCTGAGTTTGAGCATGAGAACAGTTTCATGAATATGGTAGTCTGTCGTTAATCGACGACAGACCGATATGAAAAAAGTCGATAAAACGTCAGAATAATTCGGACTAGGGCCTGGGGTGAGATGTGGATTTTTCAAAGAGAAGAGGAACACAATTGTGGTAGTCGTAATTTTTATATTAAAAATAAATACATACATGGACATTTATAGATTAATGAAATGATTACAATAGTCTCCTGGACATCTTTACATTATATTATCCGCATACTACTACAATCCTACCAATCTCCCCTTGGTTCTAAGTCTACACGACATTTAATGAAAAAGGATGTTTGTATCAGGAAGACGTCTAACCCGTATTACGCCTTTATGTAATACATATGATCATTATTGAAAATACGTTAAGAGTTAGGTATTCTTGATTTTCGAAAAGTATTGCAAAATCACGTGAGCAGTTCTTTACATTTCTTTTTTGACAAATTCCTTTCAAAATTGTCCGAATTGCAATGAACCAGAAAATAATACACTTTTAACTGATATATTGGAGTTTCTTGTCAAAAACAGACGAAAAGTAATTGAGTAAATAGATTTTAATAATCTTTTTATTTATTTTTGTAGGGGGGGGGNCGTTATTTTAATAAAATAGGAACAGCATAGCAGTAATCAATAATTAATAATTATATGACATGTCTTGAACAACTGAATTCTGCATGTTTCAAATTTTGATTGTTCATATGTCCGTTTTATTACAACTGGGTTTCGTGCTTTTTTTTTTTATTATCATCATCATTGTTATGTTATTTAAAAGAAAAAACAAAAAAACATAGTGGCAGCGGTGGGATTCGAACCCACGCCTCCGAAGAGACTGGTGCCTTAAACCAGCGCCTTAGACCGCTCGGCCACGCTACCTCATGCCTATGCTGACAGAAAATAGTTTACATATTTGTTTTACGTGATATATGCTTGTTTCGGTGGCAAGAAAGTTTATTGGTTTATCGATTATTAATTTATTATTGTAATATTTTATCTACATGCTTTCCCACCGTATTTGCAATCTATTATACATGTAATTACGTTCTGAATGACCGTCGAATTTGATCGTCGCGTCGGTTGTAACGTACCTGTCCATAGGGGGCAGCACAGTCTGTGTTATAATTTACAACGGAAGTACCCGAACCTCATTCTACCTGTGTGTGTGTTTGACTGGGGAATTACAATGACATATCGATATTGTTCAAAGGGAGGAAATCAACGATTATGACTACGTAATCACATGTCTAGTCAAGATAGTGTTAAACAGCCGGAAAAATCGCACAGAGCAGGAGATATCGTTCATAATGTTTGCAGACGTTTGACCCATTTTGGTGTATTATGCACACAACGATGAAACCGGACATATCAGTTTACGATTTCTACTGACAGTACAAGATTTCACGCAAAATGTTCATGAGTACTGACACTAGCCCTGGATAAATATTGGTTACTTTTACACACAATCCTGGTTGGAGTTTTCAAATTTCTTTGTGAATCTGTGGGCGCTGCTGGCTGGATCATTTGACGAATCGGTGTTTCATAGTTTGACAGGTATGTGAACGATGGTGAGTGATCCCCGATTTCCCGTGTCACGTTGACACTTAATCTGTTGTGGGACCCTGACCAGCCACATAGGATATGGGAGGCTCGGCCTCTGTACAGCTCGTCATGCTGGGGCTGGACCTGTCAGGCAAAACAACATTATTATACAGACTTAAATTTGACCAATACATGCATGTCAATTCTACCATTGGATTTAACTGTGAGAAAATCAAGGGAAAGACTGGAAAAATAAAAGGAATAAACTTCACAATATGGGATGTAGGTGGTCAGGACAAGACCCGCCCGCTATGGAGATCCTACGTGCGGTCATCCGAGGGTATCATATTTGTTGTTGACAGTGTGGACAAAGAACGCCTTGAAGAGGCTAAATTGGAGTTAATTAAACTTTTGAAAAGTTCAGAAAATCCAGGTTTACCAGTGTTAGTCATTGCCAATAAACAGGACTTGCCTGGGTCATTGGACTTGGCTGAGGTAGAAAAACATCTCGGTCTTCATGAACTGCCCCCAAGTCAGCTGTGGGCCTCTCATCCAGCATGTGCAATCACAGGAGAAGGATTAGATGAATGTATGGACTCAATGTACGAGCTTATAGAAAAAAAGAAAAAGACGAAAAAGAAAAAGTGAATTGAAAATTAATGCTTATTTTAAAATAATATACACAACATTGAGATTGCAAGTAATGTGCTACTTTCTGCTACCAGTGAATATAAAAAATATGTCAATGGTCCAAAATGTCTGACTTTTCTATATGTACTAAAAGTAAAGTCAGACATTTTCAGACTCGCAGCATGGATATACATGTATCTGCATATCGTAAAAAGGTATGCTGATTTTTCAATGTTTTAAAATAGAAGTCCCAACATTTTATTTTTAGAGTGTAATGCTATTTATTTGCTCTGAAGTTGTATGTAATAATTAATGTGTGAAGTGACTGTGATCTCGGGTCTGGTATAATCATTCCTCAATAGAAAAGGAAATATTTATAATGTGCTCTTTCATATCTATAAAAAGGCTTTACAATTTTATTTTGTATGTAGAATGAATACTTGCATCCATTTGTTTTTGATAAAGCAAAATTTGCTCTTTGAATATTTTTGTGAAATAGAATTACTCAACATATCAGGAACAATTTCAAGCAATAGTGGTGTGTACAATGTATGTTTTTACTTGTCACATGACATGCATGTATTCTGGAGTGCACATTTTGACATGTCCTGTTTCCACAGAAAAAAACTTGCTGTATACCAGAAAAGCAAATGAAATGATGAATACAATTTTATTGCAATATATATGGGCTTGAACAAGTCTACTGAAGTGTACACTTACAAGCCGTCTCTGAATCCATGTCCTGTTATACTCCAGCTGTTGTACTAGATAACATACCAGGGCTTTCAGTTAGTGCTTTGTAAAGTGGAATAATACAAAGGAAAATAAACATTTCAGGAAAACAGTACTTAAAAATGGCATGCCTGCTTATATTAACATTTTATATTATACTGATATTCAAATACTTCAAGTTGGTATAGGTTGTTTGAAAGATTTTTCGTTTTAGAATTATATTGATCCAGGATCAAAAAATATTATGTAAAGATCTTTTCTGAAAATTGATAGGCAAAACATAAATTGGTTTCAATTCAAGGTAAAGGGTACCATTAAAAATACATTGCCATTTTCACTATCATTGTGTACAGTATGCACACAATGCATCAAAATGAGAGATTGATGATACCTTGACAAGGGTAGTAACTCTCAGCCAGAAAAAATACTTTTTGGTCCCTTCATCTTTATGTATACAAGATAGAAAACTGAAAAGCCCAAATAAGAAACTTTTTCACAGTTGACCCCTTCACTCCATGTAACTTTAGTAGACTCTACCATGCATTAATCTGGATGAGTCCATTATGGTCTACAGTGGTGAAAGGGTTAAAACTGATGTAGTGGTACCCCTTACCTCCAATTAAATGTCTTTTCCACAAGGAAGTAACAGATACCCTATTTCACTGTAGTAACCTAAACTGTAATTGAAAATAGTTATTGCCAGTATACATTTTTCAATCCAATATTAGCTCTAGGTTTGTGTTAAATATTTGATGATCATTGTTCTAGTTGAATTGAGGGAAGCCATATTCAAGCAAATTAGTTTTTCGTGGTACTAAGGCTTATTATGTTACATAAACACCTCAGCAACTTGAGATCTAGATAAATATGTTGATGTTCTGCTTAAATCACCTGAAAGGACTTTTTACAATTTTAGATTTTATTCATATACCTACAGTTATAATTTAAAATTTATGTGATTTTGAGTGAAATGATTTTAATAAATTTATATATGTTTTCTTTGAATGCTATTTTAACTAAAAGTGCATTAAATTAACTTAATTATGATTATTTTCATCATTCAGTACATGTACATCATGAGGCTTTCTTGATTTAGTCTATCTGCAATGTGATTAAATTTAGAATTTACCAGGAAGTTTATTTTACTGTCGGCCAAGACAGTTTTTTTTCATTTACAGATGTAAGATACACAAATTGGATCTTGTGACACAAGTTTTTTTACAATTAAATTTTGTAATTTAAACTATATAATGCTCATCACTGCTGATGCTCTATGAAGCAATGGGAGACAGAGAGTGAGTGAGAGAAAGGAGAATTTCTGTGTTACACATTTTTTGTGCATTACAATGTTTAAATTTCAACATGCTGCATGCACAGATGAGTTTTCATTAGTGAACAGTTATTTTAGATGTATCATAATATGATATTGTCTTCCGATTTATAATTCCGACAGGTTAAATCTGATAAAAAACAGATCTGCAATACCTCATGTAAAAAGATCTTATTTTGTCGTTGATAAGTTTTGAATGTTGAATTCTGATTGTGATAGCAATGCTTGGCTGCATACTCAAACCCCCTCGTAGTTGTAGCGAAGGTTTCACTAAAGTATGGATTCTTGACATTATGTGAAGCTACATCTAACCTCATACAAACATATTGTTATTATTTAATCATGTTATATTATTAATTGAAAAGTAAAACAAAATATAATCTACTCTTGTTTGTGTATTTCCTTGTTTTGTAAGTGGTAACATTATGACCTGGAATCGGTTTCTGTTTCAACACCAGGCTATCTAGATCTCTTTACAGAAGAGGTTGGCATGAGGACAACGCCCTTTCATGGCAGTCACAGAATTTCTGAAAGGGGGTGCGGGGATCAGACTAGTTGCTTCTATGCTGGTTTGAGATGAATGGTCCAAATCAAACAGACAAACAAAAAAGAAGCCCTGTTTGTTGAACCGCTGTGACACCGACCCCTACCATGGCCCTGCCCCGGACCTGCTCCTAAATTAATCCACTCCAAACAAGGGCTAGTTAATTAAGACCCTGGGGATGGCAAACTTTCTTTACAAGCACATCCTCATGTTATATATATAGGAGGCATGGTAGTCTAGTGGTAGGATGCCGGCCTCGTGACCGAAGGGTTGCATGGTCACGGCACAGCACTGTGTTGTATCTTTGAGCAAGATACTTTACTCCGCTTGTTACAGTCTACTCAGCTGTAAATGAGTACGTGATAGAATTGTTGAATGTTATATAGCTGTTAGCGCGGAAATGGCAGCTCCTGCTGTATGACTCCCCAGGGAGTAATTTGTGAACCGCTTTGAGATGACCTACGAACTAGGTTGCGATTAGGCGGTATATAAGAACCTCAAATTATAATTATTATTTTTATATAAGTAGATCATCATACTTGTCAACTTCTTCAAATTTCTATGCTGGAGATTACACGTGCTCAATATTAAAACATAAATCAGATGTGTTTATATGCACCCAGAGACATATACACGTCTCTGATACACCCTAGGGGTAAATACCACTTAAAAATTGCATCATGGCCATGGTTGTACTTTCAGATGAAATCATCAGATCTTTTACTGATTCAAAATGCTAAAATTTAGGGCCCGAAATCGGAAGTCTTCCTCCAAAATAAGGAGAGTTGTAAAGAAGGAGCTCATAATCCCTTGGTAATGTACTGTAATCCCATTCACCAGACCATCCTCGATATCCCGGAGTTACGCTCACGTTTCCGTAGAGAGCGAAAGTAAGCGTAACCCCTGGATATCGATCGCGAGGATGTCACCAGACGGACCCAACAGGTTCTCGCGTCGATCTGTAGCCAGTGACGTCTGTACATGTAGCGATCTTTAGTTATAATTAGTGCCGCTGGTTGGTGAATTAGTGGATTGTTATTACGTATGTGTCATTTCTTTATCGATAATTAGCGTTAACATCACGTTTACTTGGTAAATAGGTAGATTACGAAAATGTTTTTATTCCAAACAAAAAGAGTAATTATGACATCAGTATGGCAGAAGTTACGTAAACCACATGTTTACACACATTGAAGGTTGGGCATGTTGCAACAACATACGGAGGCTCTATGTGTAATCAGATCGCTTTATTTTCTAACTAACACTATCGGAACTGATTATTAATATGAAACCGCGTTACAAATATTGATGGTGACCTCTCAAGACGGAAATTTTACTACTGTTTGTCCTTGGATTTCACCCCATGTATGATAAACCTTCAAAAGTTTATATAGGACTGTTTTGTGTTGAAGGTAAAAAAAATTGTATGCAGGAGACAATTTCCTTCTGAAAAGATAAGGCTTCATTTGGAAACCCTTACCTTAGACGTTATAGATTTAATTGCTTTCAAAATTGGCATTCGATGTCAATTGCGTCTGGAACGTGACAAATTTTATGAAACGCTAGGCCTAGTTGCTAGCGCTTCCTGTATTTGTGTTTATTTTGTTTCACGTCTTATGAACTGTAAAGTTCATTTAAGGACGTTCGTCCTGGAATTTATCCATATTTGTTCCAGTTAACATTCATATTTAGTATATCATATTGACGGCGAATTCCAACTGCAAGTCTTTCAAGGCTCCTATTGTCTGCTGACATTAACTGTTATGAGGACGCAGAATCCCAAATAAACCAGCTAGCAAACGATCAATGATTTGTCATTTTGAAAAATATTTTTATCTCATAGAAAATTATTTTATCCAAATTTAGCATCTGTAGTTCAATCAGTGTATAAGTCGAATATGCTTGTTGATTAACAGTCATCCTCAAGTAAGGGTCAGGCAATTCAATGTTATAAGTATAACGTCATAATGCTGACGTCAACATTGGGGCTATGGTATTCATAGCTGATATGAATGCAATCTGAACTGAATTATGTATTGAGGCAACTCTGCCTTATTGTATTTTTATTTTTGTTACATTCAAATAAATTCCGTGGTTTAATCAGATTGTTGTCTCTATAAATACCAGGTAGAGAGGTACGTGTGTATATATCTGATCATTTCCGATTACGTCCAAAACAAGACTTGAAAGGCATTTCCGGTCACGGAGAAGATGGTCATGCTCAGCGATCTGCGTAATCAATATGGAGACTGGTGACGCGCGAAGGGAGTGACGCTGCATTATCTTGTCTGAGAATCGCTTCACAGTCAGCACTGCCCCGGGAGCACGGGTCGCTGTACACTATCTCCATTAGGACAGACTTGACACGTGCAAGTCGTTATCAGGACTGATATCACCATGTAACGAGTAGAACATTGCTAGCACGTGGCCCCAGACTAATTAATTATCCACAAAGTTTAAAGTTCACGTACTTACTAGAATTGATTTGTCTGGCTTATTTACCAGAAGCGTTGTACAAGTGCATTGTTGCATCCGAGACGTAAACTCAAGAGTAAGACACATTATTTCTATAGTAATGGTTTCGAGATACAGAATCTCAAACCTCGATAGATATTTTTGTATAACCAAAACGTTTGGATGTTTTGCCATAGATACATAACATTACAACAATCTGTCTGCTGCCGTAGGTCTCCATAATGGAATCCGGCTTTCTGCAACATTAAGTATTTAGCAATGAAATCGATACAACGGGACTGGAATAGACGACTCACTTATATATAGCTACTGTATATATTGTATCGTTTAAGATTGATTAGTGATTGCTGAATCGCGGATACCCTAAAGTAGGTATACGGCCCGACATTTATATACGACATATTGAAGACGCCTCTCGGTAATAAAGTCTCAGATGTATAACCTTCATATAGGTGCCTCCCCAGGGGCAAATGTCATCATTTACAAAATCCACGGTAATATCGGTCATATGTAAATAATGTCAGATTTGTATATATGTCTGGGGTTGTAATAGTTTCCGTATCAATAACAATGATTGACAGGATTATCTAGTTACAGGTAATTTATATGACAGTTGTTAAGTCAAACGAGATTAAAATGGCCCGCGGTGGTTAAAATATATAGGGCAATGTTTCTTTGTTATAAATAACTATTGAAAAAAAAGTTACTGACATTTTAAAGTCTTGCCTGTTGAATTACACATGAAGACTGAAATGTCGGTATTTGCGTCCTCTGTGCAGGTAACCAAGTTTTAAGCAAGTAATTAAAACTAGGAGGAACCTTTAACTACCTTCCCGACCATGTAAAGATACCACAGAATTAGATTAGATGACTTATATATATATATATATAAATCCGTGGTAATACCACGCTAATCTAATTCCGTGGTAATACTCAATAAGGAGTCTATCGTCAATGATGGTATATAGGCCTCTAGTCTTTATATGATCCGTCTTCTTTCTATAACGCGGTGTGTATATATCGGGACTTACTTCCGGAGAGCTAATTCTAAGGAGAGTTAAAATGCAGGAAGATATTATCTATGTGATATGGATACAAAATAGATCAAAACCGATTATATGTGTTATTTGTTGCCTGCCGTACCAGTCTAGCAAGGTTTCGGCGCTTTATTGTAACGTAATTTTAGTGTAAAATGGTGAATGTGTATTTTTTGTCATATCCGTGAAACATATATTTTCTTTATTTTTGTTTATCAAAAGCTTTTTGATGTCAGGCGAGGAAGTTTAATGCACACCTGTTGAAATAAACACCTTTTTTCGGACTTACATAGGTATACACCACGAGCTGTATAATTGATATAGACAGCTGTTGACATGTGGTTTCTGATGTCACTGGAGACGTGATCGATGTTCTGTGGGGAAAAGTCGGTATTGTACGTATCTGTGTATATACACTTAAACGATATGAGTGAAATTGATTGGTAACATCTGTTTATAGTAAAATATCCATAACATGCTCTCTGAAAGGGACGTCCTAAGCTTATATTGTTCTTACTGATGCGAAAGTATGAATATTCGTTTTTAACACTTACAACATGTACAAGATAAACAGGTTCCCAAACGACTGATGATTGGGTTATCTTGTATTTAACTCAGGTTAGTTAATCTCCAAAATGTGTGAAAAAAAGATCGAGGTACATGTATCCCGAGTGTCATTTACAATTTGAAAATTAACTAACTCGATTTAGATAGACATGATAATCAACCGTAACGAGTTTGAGTACCTGCTTATGCAACGTTCCACAAATGCATAGATTTATCAGAGACATACATACTTCTCTGGATATATCTAGAAAACCACGATGGTTTTTTTTGGGAATACATCATTCCTGCTTCCAATCGGAAAAGGCAATTGCCAAGCACTATATATAACGTCACAAAGTAAGATGACGTTGCAGAACATTGTTAAATCAAAGATTGACCGATGAAATAACGTCCAGGGTGTAACCACGGAATTAGATTCTAAGTCCATGTGTTGCACACTAGTGGGTGACCAACAATGTTAACCACCTCCAATGAATCGGGAGTGAGGAAACCGTTAGTGATAGTTGGAGAAATAATATCACGGACTTCGATAATTCATTATACCAGGGTTGTTTTCGTTTATTGTGATTCAAACTGTTGAACCGGCTGTACCAGAGTTGTTCGTTTATGAAATAAGGTTGAACTCAGTAATCTGATGCTGCTTTCAGGCGAGCCTTGACAAATACTAGCAATGCCTGTATATACCCGAAATTGTTACATTTAAAAAACGAACAGGCCCCTGGGGGTAGTATATATGTGTCATACTGTACTGTTAGCGATGTGTGTCG